AAAATCCTGGAATAACCCTTTGTTAGACGTAGCTTGTTGATTTGGTCTTTTCCCTGAAAGGTAAAGAGTTAGTCATATGGAATCTCATGATGTATGAAATGCATTGTAATGATGTTCTCAGAATAAATGAGATTGTGTTGTATGCAATATGTATGCGCATGCCATGATGTATGAATATGGGATGCTATTGCGGTACTTCTTAGTAAGGGAAAATAAATCCCAGACTACTGTTGAAAAGTCCAGTAATCAGAGAGATCTTAGTGTCGACCTGTCTGACCCATGGAAAATCTTGGGTTAATGATAACTGGCATAGTAATCAGGAGAATATTAGTAGCGATTCAACTGACCCAGATGAAAGTCATGGAACAGCTTCCACTGGCATAATAATCAGAGAGATCTTAGTGTCGACCTGTCTCACCCAGGGAAAATCTTGTGAGGACATCTTTCTGAGGAAAATCCTGGAATAACCCTTTGTTAGACGTAGCTTGTTGATTTGGTCTTTTCCCTGAAAGGTAAAGAGTTAGTCATATGGAATGTCATGATGTATGAAATGCATTGTGATGATGTTCTCAGAATAAATGAGATTGTCTTGTATGCAATATGTATGTGCATGCCATGATGTATGAATATGGGATGCTATTGCGGTACTTCTTAGTCAGGGAAAATAAATCCCAGACTACTGCTGAAAAGTATTAGGAAGCTGAATTCTTCATTTCCGCTGGGGATAGTGAATGGAGATGACTATACAGGGGATTTACCCCTTTCTGTTTGAAAATATCCTGCCGGGGAGAGACTATTCCTGAGAATAACTCTGCGGGGGAATAACTTTGTTTGCGAGAGGAGATGCCTTGCTGGAAGGTTTTGCCGATTTAGAGAAATAAACTCCACCGGGGGATGAACTTTTATAGCTGGAGGAATAAACTTTGTTGGGGATTGAGCTTCTGCATTCAGAGAAATAAACTCTGCTCGAGAGGAGGTTTCGCAGTCAGAGAAATAAACTATGCTCGGGAGAAAGATTTATAAACTGTTTGCGATTATAAAACTCGGTTGGGGAATATAGATATCGAATCTCTGAATGAACTTTGCTGGGTAAAGTAACTCCTGTTTTGGGAAGCTGAGATCAAAACTTTTGGTTGCCTCTACTCTGTGGGGAATGTAGATGTCATGGGGTCGCCTACAATGGTGACTTCGCCTCAGACTATGTCTGCCCCTATACCATGCTGAACAAAGTAACTGTCAAGATTGAAATGGTTTTTTAGACTTTGCCCTGTTCCTTAAGTCATGAGCAATTTTCTTTCTGTTTTAAATGCAAATATTCGTGAATAGAAATCATATTCAAATGCATATGTCAAGAATAAGTCATTGGACGTTTTTTGTATAGCAAAACAGAAAAAAGAAAAACAAACAAATGGTTTTATACTTCTAAAGAAACGATTTGTATTGATTTATGAAGTTTGCATATAACAGATGTTGTGTACAAAAAGGCTGACATTCTAGTAGGAGAACACCACCCTAAGAGTGAAAAATATACAAAATAGTGTACAAAGAGAAGAAAACAGCTATGTGTAATAATCCCATTGGGATTCAATTCTGATATTGCCCTTATGTGTTCGAGCGTATCATCACTTTGCTACTTGTCCGAAGATGATTGGATTAATCGATGCCGTTTGAGCTTGATAGTTGATATTGAAGTATGGTCGCAAGATGATCCTATGGGACATAGTGATACACTTCAAATCCCTAACTTTTTCCTGGACCTCCCTTTCGGGTTTTCAGTCCACCGGGATACCCTTTTTTGCCCAAGACGGCTTTTCAGGTTTTTGACTTGCCGGGTGTACAAATATTTATGTTTTCGTCCCTAATTTTTGCCCGAACCCTTTTGGTTTTCCAGGATGCCCTTATTTTTGCCTAGGCCAGTCAACCTAGTGGGTCTTCATTCATGTGTAGTATCTTTTCACTATGTCTGCATTAACAGGGTGAGGGAGGTCGTCCCCATCCATGGTGGTTAGAATCATGGCTCCACCAGAAAATATGCTTTTGATCACAAATGGCCCTTCATACGTGGGAGTCCATTTTCCCCTGGGATAATGTTGCGGAAGTATGATGGGCTTGATCACTAGATCTGCGACTTTATATACTTGGCATCTGACCTTTTAGTTGAAAGTCTTAATCATCTGTTTTTGATACATTTAACCATGACAGACAACAGTAAGCCTTTTCTCATCAATTAAATTCAGTTGATCAAGTCGAGTCTGTATCCAATCATCTTCATTCAAACCTGCATCCTTCATGATTCTCAGGGAAGGGATCTAGACCTTAATAGGCAGGACAACCTCCATGCCATATACTAGAGAGTATGGTGTTTCCCCTGTCGACGTTCGTGCTGAGGTGCGATACCCATGAAGAGCTAATGGTAATATCTCATGCCAGTCTTTGTATTTCACTGTCATCTTTTTTATGATTTTCTTAATGTTCTTGTTAGCAGCCTCCACACCGCCATTCATGTTCGGCCGGTAAGGGGAAGAATTATGATGCTAGATCTTGAACTGTTTACAGAGTTCAATGATCATCGTGTTGTTGAGATTCGTACAATTGTTAGTGATGATTCTCTCTGGCACACCGTATCGACAAATTAGGTTATGCTTGATAAACCAAGCCACAATGTTCTTGGTAATAGTAGCAAAAGAGACGGCTTCAACCCACTTCGTGAAGTAATCAATGGCCACCAAGATGAAACGATGCTCGTTGGAAGCGGTAGGTCTAATCTCTCCGATCATGTTAATGCCCCACATTGCAAAGGGCCAAGGAGCCGTCAAGAAGTTCAAAGGAACCACAGGTACATGCACCTTATCAGCATAAATCTGGCATTTGTGACAAGTTCGGGAATGTTGATAGTAGTCTGCTTCCATAGTGGACCAATAGTATCCCGCCCGTAGGATCTTTTTAGCCATGGTATGTCCACTAGAATGGGTTCTAAAGGCACATTCGTGTAAATCTGTCATACTCCTCTCTACTTCGCTCTTGTCTACGCACCAAAATAAAGTAGAGTCATGGTTGCGCTTGTAGAGGATTCCATTACTGAGGAAGAACTTTGCGGCGAACATTCTCAGCAACTTCTTATCGTTGACAGATGCCCCCTCGGGATACTCTTGAGGCTCGAGATACCTCTTCACTTCATGGAACCAATTCAAAGTTTATTGTGAAAAATGGTTTGAATGAGATTGATTGACTTTTAGTCTTCTCACAAAAAATGTCAAAGTATGATTAAGTTGGTTAAAGTTTGATTAAGAAACTATTTTTGAAAATTCATGAACCTAGTCGAAGTTTATTGTGAAAGTGGTTCACGTTAAAAAACCAGAAGAGTTTTGAAAAGGAGGGAGGATATTTTTGAAATTAAAGAAGATGGGAGGAGATGAAGGGACTATCCTAAAGCATAATGTAAAAGCTAGGGAAAAGAATCGTCTAACCAACAAGAAGCCAACACTTGACATATAGAGTCAATGTATAATTCCCATCCTTTAGATTGAAACCAAAAGCAAGGAAAGATACTAAGCCTCTTAAGAGTATCAAGCTTCAGATGCATCAAATCTTCTAAAAAAAATTTGGCAGAGTAACGGTTGTATACAGAGGAATTCCCAATCACAGACAAAGTACATAATTATAATAACCTACACACAAAGAAAATTAACCCAATGTCTTGTGGTAAACCCCAAGAACTCTAGAAAAAATAACAACAGAGTATCAAGGCTTCTAATCCTAAGTCCAAGAGGCTCACAACTCAATAATTCCAAGGATAGTAACCAAATAGTCCAAGTAACCTTAAAGTTTTTTATTGTTCAAGTTGGTTATTAAGTGTCTTCAAAAAGAAAATGAAAGCTCAAGTGAGCAAAATAAAAAATGACATAAAGATAAATTCTCATGTGAGCAAAGATAAAAATAGCATGAAATGTAAATGCTAAAATAAATAGTGCATAAAAGTAAATGCATAAAATAAAAGCATAAAGTAAAAGCACAAAGAAAAAGTCAATTGTTAGTGAATTATAAGTTAAAGCTTAGTTGATTGACCATCTTGAAACTTGCATTTGAAAACTCATTAGAAGATTGATAAAATCAAAGCTTATGAACAACAAGTTTCATTTGCTTTTTGCCAAGTATATCATTCATTTCAAATTCTCGAGGCGACAACATATGATCAATGATGTTTATATGATTAACTGAGACCAAAGTTTATTATGGTTCATTAGAGGATTGAAAAGACCAAAGCCTCCTAAAAATGAACCTCAAGGTTATTGGATCAAAGATTTCAAATTAAACATACTTGGGCTTGCAAACATAGGTTTTGGCCACGAATGATCATTTCTTAAATCGGGACAAATTTAGCGTTATGTTAAGCAATCGTAAGTGGACTTATGTAGAAGTCACACCTATTTTGAAGTCGGTCAATAGCAATCTATGTATCATATGTTTAGAGAAATGATATGTAGATCATTCTCCAACAACATGTAGCACAAGTAGGAAAGGGATAAGATGAAGAGGGAGGGGATGTATTAAATGAAATTAAGGTTTCAAATATCATCAACATCATTCATCCATTTTGGTGGATTTGGTTTTCTCAACCTATCAACACCCAGGATCCAATGAGGTTGAGGAATTTGTCCCAAAATAACACCCAAGTGAAGGGATTTAACGAATCGATAATACGATTAAAAGTCTAAATAGACAAACAATACAACTCAATCGAAATTAATTAAATAACTAATTAAACTAAATCATTTTTTTAATTAATTAACAAAATAATTAATAATATTAAGTATAATTTTTTAATATAATTAATTATTTAAAACATAAGATATTTTTTTGTATTTTTATTTAATAAAGAAAAATAACTAAGCAAGATGATAATAATAGAAAAAATATAGAGAGAATTGTTAAATGGGCCCAAATTGCAGAAATTGGGGGGTACTGAAATGAGGAGTAGCCCATGCCCAATATGAGGGAACTCACGGATCCTTTGCAGTCATCCAGCGGGGTTTATCGTGGAATACACATTCTGGAGTGTTGGATATTGATATATGATGATCTGATGGTGATGAATGAGGATGCACCATGGAGAATTTTGATGAATAGATATCAGACATGATGTTGTACTGTGTGATCCAGTGGAGTGATTCTTGGAGGGTGTACCATGTAAATTCTCTATTCGGCGCTGGATCTTGATCTTCGGAGATCTGCCGGTGGAGTGAGCGAGAGTGCATGGTTGACACGGTGGAAACACTACATAGAATCACCAGATTAGCCACAAGAGTGATGACAATTGTCATCACCTAATTAAACTCCTAAAGCATGATTATTCATAAAATAATAAAACTAAAACATATTTAAAACAGAATCAAAATAAAAATCTTCTCTCTCATTGTTCTCTGAATGGTGCTTGCTAGAGATGCAAGGGGTTGCCGCGCCAGAAATCGCCTATATCGGCGCTGACAGTGTTTCGCAGCAGCGAAGCTCCGATCCCTGATTTTTTTACATCATCTTCTTCACCTTTTTCTCCTGAGTACTAATAAGGTGTTGATTTTAGAGACAGTACACAGTTACGCATAGATCTGAAAGGGGAAACTGAAACCCTAAATTTTCAAATGCGATGAAAATCAATGATTATGATGAAAATCTGATCAAATGATAAGGAGAGAGGGAATTGGCGTCCTGTGTACACGGGTAATAATCTCCTACCAAGACTGAGATGGTAAACAATGGTGGATCTGTTTGAACCATGATGAAGATGTTGCTTCTGAGGAATCCAATGAGATCCTTCTGACTTCTTCTTACGAAATCTTTTCCTCTCCGTATTTCTTTGTATCTCTTAAGGGTTTGAGTTGTGGAAGATGAAGATATATCTTAGATCTAGGGTTTGTGGCTTGTGATACTTTCACTAATTTTTGAACAGTCGAATCCCCCATAAATCTATGAATTTAATGGTTTTATACTGATAGGGAATTAAGGTTTTGCTGTGTGTTTGGACTCTGAGTTTCTTGACAGGCTTTCTTGCATTTTCTCTCTTGCCCCCCCACGAATTTCTAATTTGTTGTAATTGTTTTTGAATTCTGATAATAGGCTTATGAATTTTGATAACAGGCTTGCTGAATTCTGTTTTGCTATTGGGCTTTGCAGTTTCCTAATATGTTATTTTTCTTTTTTCTGAAACTGAAATATGGATTTGTTTGTGAAAACATGTTTTTCTCATTGGGATCGAATTCGATTTTACTCTCTTAAGCTGAGATGCGAAATTATTTTTACTTCCTATTTTATTGTTAGGGCTAGAAATGCGATTATGTGCTTTCTGTTCTATTGAATGCCTTGATGTTGGGCCTGAGCATGCAGTAACTTGTTTCTTTTGTTTCAATCTTTTATGTGAGCCAAACTATGTTTGTGCTTTGTAGTAAACTAAAATTTTGACCATGATTAACACTTGAAACATAATTGCTAAGAAATATTGTGAAGCCTTTTTGTTGAATTTGTGAACATGAATTAATTCAAACTTTCTAATTCTGATTCGTTGCTTAAACCCTTATGATGAAATTGAAGAAAAAAATTGTTTGAGTGTCTTATTATTGCTCATGTTGAGTGTCTTTTTATTGGGCTTAAAGAGGAAGGAGTTTTGGAGGAAATCTTGAAGAGGAAGAAGTCTTGGAGAAAATTCAAAGCGATTTATGCAATTTGGATCTTCAAATAACTTGATCATGGATTAGTTTTTCTTAGGACAAATGTTCACTTGATTTTCTTTGTAACTTAGAAGCATTCCTCTTGTACTTTGATGTATTCTTAGGAATTTGAAAGTTCTTGTAATCTTGAGAATTTAAGAAATTTGAATGTCTTGCAATGAGAAATGGTATAAGAAACTTTAGTGAGCAATATATATTTTGAAATTTGTATGAGCAATGGTATAAGAAACTTTGATGAACAATTTGGATAAAACTTTTATCAAATTAGACTTATAGAAATTGGTAAAAAATTGAATGAGTAGAACTTGAATTCCAATTATAGCCAATTCTAATTAGCCTCTCCATCTCACTTTGCTTTTGTTTGAAGTGTATGATGATGTTATATGATCATTGATAAATGTCTAACTCACGTGTAGTGATGATGAAAATGTGACATAAATCTCAAAGAAATGACCACGAATGAAACTTGACCAAACATTTCAAATGGATTCTCTTCCAAAAATAGTCTTGAACTTAATCATGCCTTTCAAATTAAATTCACCCTTTTCAAAATTCTGTGAATTCAAATATAGACTTTTGAAAACCCCAAGATCAACAACTTGTAACCTAAATAAAAAAATCATTCAACCCTAAAATGATGCATCAAAATTAAAAAGACAATAAGAACCAAATGAAACCTTAAAGTTGGGGTGCTGTAAATGATGGTAATTGTTGGATCAAACCTTGAGTCATCTGATAACACAAATTCAGCAAAAAATGCATCACAATCCTCAATTTACAGATGAATCTCTCTTTAATTTGTAAGTTCCAAACTCATGAAAGTAAGAAATTCCTTCCACCTTTTGAATTCCAATTTGAAGTTTTGAGTAAACTTGAACCCGTGAACTTGGACTAAACAAAAATTTGACATAATAGCCTATTATTATTCAAATTCAACAATCTTGTACCATGGATCGTTACTTGACGATAAATAATCTCAACACACAAATAAGGATTTGAGGAAAAGAATCATGGCTTTAGAAAATTGGTAACATGAATTGGAATTTAGAGTTTAAGAACATTATAGGTCAAAAAATGACCTAAGACGTTTCAATAAAATTCATGACCTTCTAAGCACAATTTGCTCTTGCTCATTTAAGAAATCTTCTAGATAACACCACTGGTGACATCATGCAAAACGTGCCATCCCAAAACGAGGAAAATTGAACGAGTTAAAATTCTTGAAAGTTGGATGAAAGTCACTTGAAATTAAATCAAAGTCTTCAAAATGACCTCTAATGTATTCAATTTTTTGATGGTCTTCTATACATAATTAGCTCTCGACTTGAAAACACAAATTGAAGGTGATGTCAAGGAGATTCATATGATCGAATAATCACTCAAAAAATTGAACAATGAAGAAGTTATGACCATTTGAACTCAAACTTGCAAATGTTGACTTTTGGTCCGACAACTTCGAATCAACCTGCAGACTTTATCTTTTCACAACCCAAGGCACTCTTAATCACATATGAACTTGAGATGGTAAAATATTAATTAAACCATGTTCACACTTGTCATAATTTGAGATTACTCGTCGAAGAAGGCATGGAAATAAACACATGAACCTATCTCGATGATTTTTGAGAATTAAGCCACCAAATTCGCCTTAGCCATGTTGAATGAAGCTTGAGGATAGCGTGACCTAAGATTATAGATCACCACTCAGAAATATAGGATTTTGGGAACCATCTTTGTCCTGAACAAATCACAACCCTAATGGGAGAACCATCACCTGAACTCCTTGATCTGAAACCCTGTCTTCTAAAAGAAACAACATAAACAAGACATATTTTTGGATTTTAGTTGGAGGTCAATATAATATAAAACACATATGTACAAGATACACAATTCAAGGTGCTTGGTAACCCCTCAAGAGAAACTTTAAATATGGGATAAATTAAAAAAAGAGTATTAATCCTAATGTGTGATCTTGATTTATTGATAAAAATGAGATAATAAGAAATCTTAGGGGCAAAAATTGGGGTATTACATAAGGCAAGAAGTATAGAGTGAGGGAAGTGAATGTCCAAAGTGACTAAGCACCTAACGAAGATATAAAAAATCGAGGTAGGAGATAGAAGACAATATGAACAAACACGGAGCATCAACATTGTCTGACACGAGCCCAATACCAAATGTGGGGGATTGGTTACAGATCCACGAATTCCACTTCACTGAATTGATAACAGGAGTAGCACAATTCGAAGCATCAATGCACAGTGTGAGCTATTAATGACAAGGACTAGAAATAGCGGGGTCGATTGCAGACCCTCGGCTTTCCTTGACTCCTTTTAAGGACATATCAATGGGGAATGGGAATGGGACGTCTTTATTGAGGTCTTTGGGCACAAATGTAAATATGTGGAATGCCTACTTCGAGGTAGGTCTTTGAACAACGACAAACACAATTAGAAAACAAGTGCAGAATGCCTTCTAAAGGTCTTTAACCCGCGACTTTTAGCACATGCTCTTTATTATCCTACTTCTCATGATATCTAGAAAGCGATAAAACATGCATCTCTATTCCTACTTCTCATGGAATCAGAAAGCCGTAAAATACAGAAAGATAAACTAGAAGAAGTGTAATACCAAACAGATAAAATATCCATTATACAACAACAAGAAAAGCAGAAATACTCCGGAAAACTTCGTGAAAGTTAGCATCAACAACACAATAGTCATAATACGCGTCGATCAAATAAGACTCCATGAGAATGTGTGGCATACGCATCCACAACAGACAGAACACCTGCACACAAATTCACAACCAGACAAAATGCAAATAATGCATATTTCTCATGAAATGAGAATAAAGATAAAGTCGTGTCAGAAGCGAATCCATAAATCAAATGTTTTTCAATTACATAACCAACCTTTAGTTACATGATTGAAAGCTCTCACAATGTACTTTACACAAGTCAACAAACACATTAATGCTAACAAGCAACTCTAAATGGAGCTATGCATTCTCAACACAATTCAATTTATGATTAAACCATGAAGTAGTACAAAGTAAATACATGTTGCAAGCACAACAAAAAATTCCGGACATCATTGCATTACAAAAATGTGTGTGCAAAATGTCGGAACAGAATCACACGAAAATTGCACGGTAGTCTCCAAACCTACCAACAAGCTAAAAGAAATCAAAACCGTGAATTAAATCATAACCCAAGTGTCATTTACCTTTTCCGGGCAGCAACGCCGTAATAACATGAATAGTGTAGAAAAACGTACCGGAATCAAGGAAAGTCAAACACAATGGTTCAAAAAATGAACAATAAAGTATACACATGCATCCAATGAAACTTAAACTCAAAGTACGTGTTAAAAAGTTCCAAAAAGCACTAAATTAAAAAATTAGGCGCGCAAAACATCGGAGCAGAATCACATGAAAATCACACAAGAACTCCGAAATGTGTCAACAAACTCAAAAAAGTGGTTCCCATGAATTAATTCCAAGCGGAGGTACTACTTCCAAATCTCGGGCAGCA